ACACTGTAGTGACCACACATTTCGTTTTCATGTTATTTCTTATGGAAAAGGTGAATGTTAGATACGCCAACTGTATTATCACTAATGTTATTATAATTGTATCGTGGTTTATGATTGATGCTTCTATGTATGCCATGTATTTTGCATTCACAATAAAAATTGTATTTGGAAAAAGTCCGGAATTAAAGGTGTAATTAATCCGCGTTATTCACTAAAGTGAAAATTCAAAGTGAATTTCAAATATAAGGACAAAATAGAAAAATGATTCCAATTTAGCAGTCAGCTATGCTTTCAGTTTGGCTATTCTAGCCTTAATACAGGGACCCTATAGTCACCAAAACAACTTTAGCTTAATGAAGCAGTTTTGATGTATAGAACATGCCCCTGCAGTCTCACTGCACAATCCACTGCCATTTAGGACTTCAATCATATATTTATACAGCCCTAGTCACACCTCCTAGCTTGTGACCTACACAGTCTTCCAAAACACTTACTGAAAAGAGTTATCTAATGTTTACACTTACTTTATTGCAAATTCTGTTTAATTTAGAATTTCTTACCTCCTACTCTTTTAATAGCTTGCATGCAGGAGTCTCCTTTATGTAATTAATGTAACTTACAGAGCAAGAGAAAAATTATTTAAAAGTAAGTTACATCTGATTAAGAATTAAACCATTGTGTCAATCACAGGCATTGGAAGGTGTGGTTAGGGCTGCATAAATAGAAACAAAAGTGATCTAACTCCTAAATGAAACTGAATTGAGCTGTAAAACTTCAGAGGCATCATCTATACACAAAAACTGCTTCATTAAGCTAAAGTTATTTTCTCGACTATAGTCTCTCCATAAGTCCTGAATAGCTTCTTGTAGTGGTTACAGTTTATACAATCTATGGCTGGCTTGCCCATGGTTTTTGTCCCCTTTTTAGTTCACTGCTGTATAAGTAGAGTATAGGAGCAGAATTTAAAGGAACATGGTCCTGTATATATAGTTATAATGCTGAATCATTCCATAGCATACCGTCTGCTGTTGACATCAGAAGACTCATGCTTTGACAGCTGCCAGATATCTTCTAAATACAGCTCTCCTTTTTTATATGCTAAACGGGCCAGCGGCGTGAGCCAGGAGAAAGTCATGAACGAGAAAAGCCCAGCATTGTCTACTGGGTGCTGGTTTCTACAAAATATGAAAAAGGGTACAGATTATCACACAAAACAGCCAGGTACGGTTAGAAAGTTTACAGAACAGTTTCACAAGCTAGATATATTCAAGAGGAAGTACAAAAGTTACCAAAAACCTTTGTATCAGTACCAGTTCATTTTCAGGGCCAAAAAAAGGATGCTGGAAGAAAATATTAGCAGAACATTTTTGTAAAAGATTATGAATGAGCAAAGAAGGAGAGAAGGCAAAATCAGTTATTTGCTGTACTCCGTTAGAAAAACTGATGGGTTATTCACTAAATCCAAACACTGTTTTGGCAAATCAGCGCCTCCTCAAAGATGCACTGAATCAATGCATCTCTATGAGAAAATTTCAGTGTCCCCATGCAGAGCATGGAGTCGCTGAACGGCACTTCTGCCTACTGTGCAGCACTGAGCCAGGAAGCACCTCCAGTGGCCATCTGAGGAGTGGCCACTTGGAGGTGTCTCTAGGGGCAATGTAAACACTGCGTTTTCTCTGAAAAGGCCTGCATATAATGATTATACTCACCAGAACAACTAAAAAAATATGTCACTTTTATTTTTATCAAGTACTTTACATATATTTAATATTTTCATCTTTTTATAATAATTACATTTCAATATACCCGTATACAAAAATGTTCAGATTGTATTTTGATACATTTTTACTAGAAAACATTGAGCTGCAGTTGTTCTGGTGACTATAGAATCCCTTTAAGAACTTGTTGAGGAATGAAAACCACTGCACATCTGTTTGAATGTAAAAAGAATAACTGAAAAACTGTATACAGTGGGAATAAACCTGATTCATTGTAAAGTTAATAACTCACTTGGAAGTAAAACGAATGGGTTTAAGGAGGTTGAGCCCATTATGGTATTTGCCTTTATGATGGCCCTCATCCAGCATCTTCAAATGGGAGTGCACAGAAATATCCAAAGGAAGACCTTCTGCTCGGGCAGCAGCCTCCAAAGCATCCTGGCAATCCACATACTTGAAAATAAAAAGACAAAAATTCTATAAGAAATTGTAACTCGCTGCTAAGATTGAGAAGAAAATAAAAACCACAAACACAATTATTCTACTTTCTCAGAAATGTACTCAGTTTACATTTGGATTCCTGCAATTATATCAGACTTAAAAGGACAATTTTAATGTAGTGGTTTGGATGCACAGATGTTATCCACATTCTTGGATAATGTAAAATATCGGCATTTGAAGGAAAAAAATAAACAGGAATGCTTTCGTTGGTCTGAAAACAAGTCTCTAGTGGTAGTCAGGGAGCTTCTAGAGTCTAGAGAAAATGTATCATTGCAAAGGCGCTCTATAATGTGCTAGTCAGTGATGGGCAGACTATTGCCTCGTTTCCACTGAGCGGATCAGTGCGGTACAGTTTGGAAGGTTTAGAATGGTCCAGCATATTCTGGTGAGTGTTTCCACTGCAAGTCAGACCTTCAGGGGCCATGCGGGGTTTAGAAAAAAAATGCTCTTCCTGTCCAACAATCAGTGGATTGTATAGTAGCTCCGCCCTAACCGAACCATTTCCTATGGCCCTACATCTGAAGCAGGACCCTGAATGGTGCGGTACAGTTCGGTTGTATGGGCCACTTTCATAATGGAAACACTGAAAATAGCGAACCGTACCAAACCGATGCGCTCAGTCGAAACGAGGCATATGTGAAAGACATGTGAAAATGAAGACTGTAATCCTTACAACCTTCATTTTCTAATATCTTTTATATACTCTGCCCATCATTTAGGAACTGGCACAAGGGCACTCTGTGTGGCCATTGCCAAAGTGGTTTGGACATTACCAGTCATGAAAGTAGACAAAGGACGTCCACAACCGGATGTCTGTACCCAAGTGGCAAGAACTTTTCAATTTCTAAAAAATCAAATCTACTAGCCCAATAAAAAGGTTTTATTTCAAATAGAATTTGCCTTTTTTAACATTCAAGAAAACTAACATGCAAGTCTCAGATTTAATTTTACAAAAATAAGGTAGTTCGCCATCTTAATTTTCAAAACTTCGCTATGCCTAAGGTAATATGCCAACAGGAGACAAATTTCAATGTATACTTCCTGGTAGAACACTTAAAATAAATATATAATGAATACTTAACACCTAGTTAATATGGATTTGTAAAGCCCATCAGAATGAATATACAGAAGAATATTGTCACATATAAAATGAGGTCATTCACTGTGAATGTGAGATGGTTGAAGATGGCTAATGTTTGCAGTAACAGCTAAGTGCTGATGATGGCATTTTCCCATGACTAAATAACCATAATTAGTATAAAGCTTCAATTGCACAGAAAAATCTATTCATATTTTCAGCATTTACAAATTAAAATCCCAGCTAGTTGAACATACATATAGAACATGTGTTGTAACACATTTTGTGGTTGACATTTGTTAAGACAGAAAAAAAAATAAAAAAAAAGATCAATTATATCATATATGGCCAGCTTTGACCTCAGTTGTTGGATTAAAAGTCCTATAATTCTCTGCCAGTCAAGTGATGAATGGGTTTTTGTTTTGTGCTATAAATGCAATAGGAAGGGGCAAAAAAAATAAAGACAATTATGTTTGCTCATTTGAAAAGAACACTCCAAGCACCATAACACACCAGTGCACTAATTTACCTAGCATTTGTCGAATGCTTGTTATCTCCTTCGCTGAAAGCAAGATGCTTTTGCACTGTGCACCCTTTCAATTTGCAGGGCCAGCTTCTTGGCTGGGAGTCAGCTGATTTCTCTAAGCCAATGAGTGGTAGTCAGCTGATTTCTCTCAGCGAATGAGTCAAGCATGCACTGACAGTCTAGCTCAGGGCAAAGAACTTCAGTATCTTAACGGAGGAGGTGACTTGCGCCCATAGTACTCCAGGTAAGTTGTTCAATTGTTTGACTATTTTCACCGGGGATGACTTGTAGCCGTTAAGGAGCTTAAACGTTTTTCAATAATGAGGAAAAAAGAATAAACGCCGCTGTAAAAACGCCACGCACGTGCCTGCTACAGAACAGAGAAGAAAAAAATATCTACACGAGTGCCACTTGTGGTCACCTACAACCCAGCTCTTGAGGAAATATGGAAAATCATCAAAGACCTACAAGCAATATTAACAGAAGATGAGACTCTGAAAAACATTTTACCTGAAACACCAATTTTGGCCTTCAGACAACCACCAAACCTCCAACAAAAATTAATCAACAGGAAGCTGCCCACTGATGGTAAGAATGAAGAAAATGGGACCAGTCAATGCAAAAAACCTCGCTGCAAACTGTGTCAGCACATATGCACAGACTACAGAGCCCCACACAACAATAAAACCTACAGCATTATAGGTTCATACTCTTGGACATCCAGCAATGTGGTATACATGATTCAATGCACCAAATGCCACCTAGGAAGCTACATTGGGGAAACCACCCAGCCATTAAATGGCAGAATGAATATGCACAGACAGACACTCTATTAAACATCACAAAGAAGAATCCTATTGCACTCCTGTGGGACACCACTTTACCCAGCCTGGCCACTCACTGAAGGACCTAAAAATCAAAGTACTGAAAGGGGGTTTTAAAAATACCCAGGAAAGAAAAACTTTTGAAGCCAGAATGATTAAATGGTTTAACAGAAAGAATAGAGGACTAAATATTGATTTGGGTTTCCTGTCCCACTACCAAACCTTTACATGAACACTCTCCCAGCATTATCTTACTGTTCTGTCATATGTATCAACATTTTAAAATGCATTCCTATATGTTTATTCTATCTATATACAAAGTACTATATGTAGACCTATGCTTTCCCATACTCGTTTGCATGTATACACAAAAACAAAGAAAAGGCTGCGCCACAAGGAATAGGTAAAACAGGTTTTACCTATTCCTTGTGGCGCAGCCTTTTCTTTGTTTTTGTCTATACTCCTACTGTAGAGGGTTAGAGGGTGACCCCCTATCAGGTTGCTGCCTTTTATCTTATTTTATCTATTGTTATTATTAGCGCTAACCGTTTTAACTTTCTTCGTTTGCATGTATGCTTATATATATTACTCTGCATTTATATTTGTGTATATGAGTTCATGTGCATGCATGTGTTTATGTATATGTACATGTGTTTATGCGTTCACATATACATATTTCTGTGTGTGCATGTATAAAGTGTACCATCCTCTGCACTGTCTGCTTGTTTGTTTTTCTTCTCCCTCTCTCCCCCCTCACTCTGTTCTTCAGAAATATATTTATGACCCTCTGCAAAAATGGTGTCTATTTTCTAACAAACCTGTGTCTTATCTACACTCATGTCGCTTTAACCCCTGTATCACAACTCAACTTTGAATTCTATGTGTCGTCTTGCTCAGAAATGCTTCAGACTTGAGAAAGGGAGGTTCTCCTGAAAGCTTGGCATTAAAAAATTATGTTAATCCAATAAAAAGGTATTACAAGATACGAATTGTATTTTTTTTTTTTACACACACATAATTATATATATATACACACACACATACATATATATACACACACACACACACTTGCAAGAAAAAGTATGTGAACCCTTTGGAATGATATGGATTTCTGCACAAATTGGTCATAAAATGTGATCTGATCATCATCTAAGTCACAACAATAGACAATCACAGTCTGCTTAAACTAATAACACACACAAAGAATGAAATGTTGCCATGTTTTTATTTAACACACCATGTAAACATTCACATTGCAGGTGGAAAAAGTATGTGAACCCCTAGACTAATGACATCTCCAAGAGCTAATTGGAGTGAGATGTCAGCCAACTGGAGTCCAATCAATGAGATGAGATTGGAGGTGTTGGTTACAGCTGCCCTGCCCTATAAAAAAAACAAAAACAAAAAAACAAACACCAGTTCTGGGTTTGCTTTTCACAAGAAGCATTGCCTGAGGTGAATGATGCCTCGCACAGAAGAGCTCTCAGAAGACCTACGATTAAGAATTGTTGACTTGCATAAAAGGCTGGAAAGCCTTGCTGTTCATCAGTCCACGGTAAGACAAATTGTCTATAAAGCACTGCTGCTACTCTCCCTAGGAGTGGCCGTCCTGTAAAGATGACTGCAGGAGCACAGCGCAGACTGCTCAATGAGGTGAAGAAGAATCCTAGAGTGTCAGCTAAAGACTTACAAAAGTCACTGGCAAATGCTAACATCCCTAAAACACTAAACAAGAATGGATTTCATGGGAGGATACCAGAGAGGAAGCCACTGCTGTCCAAACAAAACATTGCTGCATGTTTACAGTTTGCACAAGAGCACCTGGATGTTCCACAGCAGTACTGGCAAAATATTCTGTGGACAGATGAAACCAAAGTTGAGTTGTTTGGAAGAAACACACAACACTATGTGTGGCGAAAAAAAGGCACAGCACACCAACATCAAAACCTCATCCCAACTGTGAAGTATGGTGGTGGGGGCATCATGGTTTGGGGCTGCTTTGCTGCGTCAGGGCCTGGACGGATTGCTATCATCAAAGGAAAAATGAATTCCTAAGTTTATCAAGACATTTTGCAGAAGAACTTAAGGCCATCTGTCTACCAGCTGAAGCTCAACAGAAGATGGGTGTTGCAACAGGACAATGACCCAAAGCATAGTAGTAAATCAACTAAATGGCTTAAACAGAAGAAAATACGCCTTCTGAAGTGGCCCAGTCAGAGTCCTGACCTCAACCGGACTGAGATGCTTTGGCATGACCTCAAGAAAGCGAGTCACACCAGACATCCCAAGAATATTGCTGAACTGAAACAGTTCTGTAAAGAGGAATGGTCAAGAATTACTCCTGACCGTTGTGCACGTCTGATCTGCAACTACAGGAAACGTTTGGCTGAAGTTATTGCTGCCAAAGGAGGTTCAACCAGTTATTAAATCCAAGGGTTCACATTTTTTTCACCTGCACTGTGAATGTTTACATGGTATGTTCCATAAAAACATGGCAACATTTCATTCTTTGTGTGTTATTAGTTTAAGCAGACTGTGATTGTCTATTGTTGTGACTTAGATGATGATCAGATCACATTTTATGACCAATTTGTGCAGAAATCCATATCATTCCAAAAGGTTCACATACTTTTTCTTGCAAATATAATATAATTATATATATATATATATATATATATATATATATATATATATATATATATATATATATATATATATATATATATCAAACTAAATATGTAAAATGTTTCTACCATTTCTTAGAGTGAATCTTAAAAACTTTTGGATGTTTGAGAAATGGGTATATGGAACTACGCACCCCTCAGATCGAAAGTTTACATAAAATCTTATGCTTGTAGAATGTGGGTTACTGACCTGAGAATTTCCATTGTGAGACTTTTGAAATCTAGAATAGGCCTGAATGACTTGTCTGGTTTCTCTACAAGAATAATTCTTGAAAAAAATACTTTGGAATTTTTGTGCATTTGGAACTTTTTCCATAATCCCTTTCTAAAATTACTTGAGAGGTTCAGAAAGCAGAGCTTTTGACATGCATAGGAAGAATAGAAGAACGGACGACTTTGTGATAAATTTGATTTTGTATCTCTGCAGAATGGTATTTAAAAAAAAAAAAAAATCAAACGATTTTTTGTTGTTGTCGGTTTCCATTTTTCTGCAAAATACTTTAGTCTTCCACTTATTTGCAATCTTTTTCAAATCTGGATGAAACACCCTTTTCTCTTGTTTGTAAACCTTATATTTATTTTAAAAAAGAAAAAAGGCAGACTCATCCTCTTTGTAGAAGTATCTCCTTTGATAGTAAGGCTGGAAACACTTGATCCATCTTAAACCGCCTTCCTGAGAAAGTGCTTTTTTAGGGTTTGAAATTTGTTTAAGCAGATCACCCATTGCTGATTTGGGGAGCCATGTCATCTGCTGGTGTTGGTCCACTGTGCTTCATTAAGTCCAGGGTAAACGCAACAGTCTACCAGGAGATTTTGGAGCACTTCATGCATCCTTCCGCAGACAAGCTTTATGGGGATGCAGACTTGATTTTCCAGCAGGACTTGCCACCTGTCCACACTGCCAAAAGCACCGAAGCCTGGTTCAATGACCGTGGGATTACTGTGCTTGATTGGCCAGCAAACTCGCCTGACCTGGCATTGCCAAGAGAAAGATGAGACATGACACGAACAATGCAGAAGAGCTGAATGCCGCTATTGAAGCATCCTGGTCTTCCATAACACCTCAGCAGTGCCACAGGCTGATAGCTTCCATGCCACGCCACATTGAGGCAGTAACTGCTGCAAAAGGGGCCCAAACAAAGTACAGAGTCCATATGCATGCTTATACTTTTCAGAGGTCCGATATTGTTCAATGTACACTCCTTGTTTTATTGATTGCATGTAATATTCTAATTTACTGAGATTGTGGATTTAGGGTTTTCGTGAGCTGTAAGCCATAATCATCGCACTTATGACAAATCACGGCTTGAACTATCTTGCTTTGCATGTAATGCGTCTATCTCATATTAGTTTCCCCTTTTACCTTGCATTAATGAAATAAACTTTTGCATGATATTCAAATTTTTCGAATATCACTTGACAGGAATTCAAACAGACAACTCTACTGTGACAGAAGAGAGGCACATATTCTTTGCAGCCAAATTCAAGGACTCATCTGTCATTCCACACAGATAGTAATTTCCCATCCTTCTACCTTTAAGTATAATTTTGCAGGATCTCCATTGATTTACACAGATGCAGAACATTTATCATGAATGTCTTCACTCTGGGTCAGCCAAAGCGCACCATTCTTTTAATAGGAGTGCGCCGAGCCCTCTAAATCTTCCGCAAGTCACAGCTCCAGGACCAAGGAGGCTTAAAACTTGTCCGTCCCATTTGCGGGGCATGTTAGAACTTGTCGGCTTCAAATTTTGCAGACAACATTTAGAGAATAATGGTGGTGGGATAAGTAATGCTTTACATTTTATTTAGGCGGCTACTTGTCACATTAACTTGAAAGTCCCTCACGTACTGCCACTGTACGCAGGGAAAATGCAGTTTAGTCGCAGTTCCATTCATCAAAAACAGATTAATGGAGCTGTTCAATAAGATGACAGCAGCTATACCAAGGCTGCTGTCTGTTTACAGAAAGCCCCAGTTTTGCAATCAGGATAGTGGCAGCATTTCCCTGAGCTACTGACCACATATATGCGCAGCCACAGTTTCGGCGCTCTCAGAAAGAAAATGAGTAGAGGTAGGAACATGCACAATGTGTGCACAGCATAAATGGGTTGTGTGGCTGTGAACAATAAAAGAGGAAGTGAAAATGTTCCCTTTGACATCAGTTGCTGAAATGGCACTCACAGCTGCAGTGATGTTTGCAGTTATAGATCACAAGTGTAGGATCACAAGTTTAGAGTCACAGTGCCAAATACAAGAAACAACCCAACTCTGAAATTAAACACCTTTAAAAAATATTCTGCTTTCAACACATCAATAATAGACGGTATATAACATTGCAAAATTGAGCTAGAATTATTTTCTTTTTCTAAATTTCACAGGTTAGAGTGGCTCTGCCAGCAAAAAAACGAATCTGCTTTTAAAAATATCACAATATCTGAATCCATTTTTTTCCCTCCTTAGTGCTCTTGTTTTCACAGAATACACAAAGAAAAGTAAGGATTACAGATAAAATTTGGCGATGGGTGACGCGTAAGCAAAGTTCTGTTTCAGTTATCAAATTTACCCACAATCCATCAATAAAATTAATCCTAAAGAAGGGACAAACTGCAGACATAATGGGCAGAGAAGATCAAAATGGGCCTAGAAGAAAAGATAGTAAATAAAAACAAAGGCAAAAGAGTACATCATTAAAGGGTTACTCCAACCACCATGACCACTTTTGCTTTTAGAATGCATGTGCAGGGTGTCTTCTTGATAATCCAAATATTCAGTTTCAGGCTG